TTCACCATGTTGACCAGGATGGTCTCGATCTCTTGACCTCGTGATCCACCCGCCTCAGCCTCCCAAAGTGCTGGGATTACAGGCTTGAGCCACCGCGCCCGGCCGTCAAGCCACACTTTTAATTTCTCTTGCAGTAACCTACAGTGGACAAAACCAAATAAATTAGCATAATGGCTTAGGATGAATTCAGAAAGCTGCCATTAAAATTTATCCTTTAAAAAGCAGTTGACTCTGTACTGTGAGCTCCTTAAGTCTTTTATTCACGACACAAGTGTAAGTTTTAGGATATAGATTGGAATCCCAACTATGATTTTGGGCAAGATACTGCATACGTGTAAATTGCTTAGTATAGAGTCTAGCATAGAGGACACATTCGTTCCATTCTAACACATGGCCACAATCCCTTATCCAAAACCACTGGGCCAGACATGTTTAGAAGTTTTGATTTTAAAAAGGTAATGCGGTGCTGAGTGGGATCTAGGTTTTACTGCCAAAGGAGGTATTTAAAAACCTTTTGTTTTCAGACCTTTGGGGATTATTTTAGAATTGGAGACCACAGATACGGACTTACATTTACCAACTTCCCATTACATTGCTAAGAACTGGATTAAGTTCTGTTAAGGAAGGAGAATATTATTTCTAATTCTCACAACCCTACAAGGTGTCATGTCTTGTAATCTCCTTTTTAAAAGAAAGGATGTAATTGTGGAGGCGGAGTTACTGTCTGCTCTCAATGATTCTGTGGATTGCTTCTGCGTCATTACCAGAATCCTCTGATTTTCCTGAGCATACGTATGCACAAAAGTGACACAGGGAAGTCAGTGGTCTGTCTGATTTGATTTATAGTCACGTCGGGTTCACCATTAGGTCAAGTAACCTTTCCATGTGCAGAAAATCCCATCAAAGTAGGTCTATTTTTAAAAACGTGTAGGAACAGCTATGCAGAGCTTAGATCAGTAACATGACAGCATTTTATGATCTTGAAACAGAGTCAGAATTACATTTTATGAAATATCCAACTTAGGCCAGGCATGGTGGCTAACATCTCTAATCCCAGCACTTTGCGAGGCTGAGGTAGGTGGATCACTTGAGGTCAGGAGTTCAAGACCAGCCTGGCCAACATGGTGAAACTAAAAATACAAAAATGGCATGCGCCTGTAATCCCAGATATTCAGGAGGCTGAGGCAGGAGAATAGCCTGAACCTGGGAGGCCGAGATTGCTGTGAGCAGAGATCATGCTACTGTACTCCAGCCTGGGCTACAGAGCTAGACTTTGTCTCAAAAGAAAAAAGAAAAGAAAAAAAGAGAAATATCCAACTTACTGACAAGGAGGATGAGACATTCTCAAGACAAAGATGTCATTTTTCTTTGTAGAATGGTGCTTCCATCTGTGCTGAAGTTTCTGGAATCAGGGATGGTGTGCAAAGTGAATCTACACAGAAATCATTTTAAAAATGATCCGGTTTCAGGGCGTTCTGGAGGCAGAAGGGCAACATAACACTAATGGGCATTAAGTTTGGGTCTAAACAGGCAGGCTTAAGAGTTTTTAAATTTACAAAATATATTTAGCTAAAAGCAATTTCATCACCCAAATTGCAAGCCCCTCTGAGGTAGCTCCACACAGCCCTTCAGTTATGAAGCTGAGATGAGGATGCCTTACATAGTAGACTTTTCATGAGAAGATGTCTTTTCCCAAATGAATATTTCCTTTGTATAGACTCTGGTGATTGATAATTATTTCAATTATGCTGCTATAGCTTGAAAAAACTAGTTTCTCCTCTGCAGCTGCCTTCACAGCTGTTTATTAGTAACAGGTGCCAGGTTGTGTTGTTGTTAACATCATACACTAGAATAACATAACCCTAGCAAATCAACTCTCTCGTAATTCAATGGACTTTTCAGTGTTTTTTTTGTTTTTTTTCGATGGAGTCTTGCTCTCTCTCCAGGCTGGAGTGCAGTGGCGCAATCTTGGCTCACTGCAACCTCTGCCTCCCAGATTCAAGTGATTCTCCTGCCTCAGCCTCCTGAGTAGCCGGGACTACAGGCGAGTGCCACCATACCCAGCTAATTTTTTTGTATTTTAGTAGAGATGGGGTTTCATCATATTGGCCAGGATGGTCTCAATCTCTTGACCTTGTGATCCACCCACCTCGGACTCCCAAAGTGCTGGGATTACAGGCGTGAAGCCACCGCACGTGGCCTCAGCTGTTTAAAAAAATAAATTCCTTTTCATGGAAAGTTGAACGCTATAGATAGATATACATTTTTAAAATTTTACATGCACACCATCTTAATGTAATTCTAGAATTGGTATTCTAAAAAATATTCTAAGCAATGGCAATGTTAGGGTAAATGCATAGTCTCTTTAAAGTGATTACTTATGAGAGGAGTAATATTCAGATAGAGATGGATGGCTGTTTGTTTAAAAAGTAGATCTTAGTCACATTTCAAGAAGACAAGACTGTTCAAAAGAAAATGTTGCCGTTTTTCATTAAGGAGATGAAATGCAGAGAAACAAGAACCCCTATAAACTCATGGGTGAGAGGAAAACTAATAGAATTTCTTAGGGGACAATGTGGCAATCTCTATCAAAATTGAAAAGGTACACACCCTTCAATCTAGCAATTTCACCTACAATATTTTATCCTACAGATATGTTTGTACACATACACTAGACACACATAGAGGGCTGTTCATTGCTGTGTTCATGCTAATGAGAGGATAAAAACAATCTAAATGTCCTTAATAAGGAACTTGTTCAATAAATAATTATATATCATTCTATATAGTCACTAAAAATAATTTGGTAAATCCACATGTACTGCTGTGGAAATTTTTCCAAGACAGTAATTTTAAAAGGCAATGTCCAAATAAATAACAAAATATTTTGTTTAAAGGCAAAGTAGGAATATGCTCTATCTTGTCTTCTGTCACATATATATATATATGTATACAGGCCAAACAATACAATACCATTACTAGAAGCCTGCACAAAAGACTAACAGTGGTTGATCTGGAGATCGGGTGGGTAGAAAATTCACAGTATAACCTTTTGGTTTACTTTTTTTTAAACCATGAACTTGTATTCAATTTATAATACAAAAAAGTTATTCTCTAACAAGCCTATTATTTTTTCTCTAAACACAATGAAGGCTGGAATCCAGATGCCAGATATTCGGAGCATTTTCTGCAGGAAGCTAAATTACTCCACTGGAATGGAAGACATAAACCTTGGGACTTCCCTAGTGTTCACAACGACTTATGGGAAAGCTGGTTTGTTCCTGACCCTGCAGGGATATTTAAACTCAATCACCATAGCTGATATGACTCCACCCTTAAAATATTCCCTGTATAGAATTGTGGAATTGCCCCTTTGTAGCCTACTATAACATTGTTTTTTATGAACATCACCTTTGATCCATATGATCCACAATATAAAAACCAAAAACTACTGTGTGAAAATTGTACCTTGGACCATATAAGCATTATTAACTTTTTTTTTTTGAGATGGAGTTTCGCTCTGTCACCAGGCTGAAGTGCAGTGGCGTGATCTTGGCTCACTGCAACCTCTGCCTCCTGGGTTCAAGCGATTCTCTTGCCTCAGCCTCCCAAGTAGCCAAGACAACAGGCCTGCGCCACCACGCCCAGCTAATTTTTATATTTCTTAAGTTCACCATGTTGGCCAAGATGGTCTTGAACTCTTGACCTTGTGATCCGCATGCCTTGGCCTCCCAAAGTGGTGGGATTAAAGGCGTGAGCCACCCTTTAAGTACATGTGTTAACTATGGAAATCAAGATTATGTGACTGAAAAACATAAAGGCATAGACCCATCTAGATACCAGCCATCAATCTGCTTAATTCTGAATGACAATTATATCCACCAATTTTTAAAACTTCTAAATGTATTTTTCACATGTAGATCTTTTTTAACAGGTTGCCAATCTTTTATAAAACTATTACATTTAAAATTTGGATGTCTGAAAAACAGAATATTCATGATTTTTATGATTTTCATCATGTTACTATTGTTCATGTTAAATATAATAGAAGGTAAACAGACCCCGGGTTTAAAGGGAGAAAGAATATCATTAAGTCTTGCTATAGAAAAAGCCTGTAACTTAAGGATAACAATTCTTAATATCTTTTATTGTAAAAGCCATCAGACTTTCAAATGAGTTTTAAAACTTTCAGTATTATTTAATGAAAAAGTCTCATACTGTCATGTACAGGATATATCAACATTTACTACTCATCTGTCGTGTTATGGAAAAACATCATTATTGTATGCTTGGAAAATTCTCAAACCCATTTCTAATGGATGTCTGTCATAATTTAAAGGGTATTTTCTCCATTCAAATAAAACTATCTATTGTTAAGCTACAATAGTTATATACCAAAGTAATACCTAGTTACATGCTTTACATAGTCCCGTGAAAAAATAATTTAATTGCTCCTAATCCCTGATGCAAGGCACTTCAAAGCACCTGCACAAAACGTCCATGTAAACAGCAGTACAGTACATCATTTAAATAACATAAATGACTTTTACACAGCTTGACCTAGACTTAAGGAAAAATAAAACCCATCATAACCACAGCTAAAAAGCATGTTAAGATTCACAACAAGAATTTCTTTCTCTTATTATAAAGAAAAGAGCAATCATATAACCTCTGGGGGGTAGGAGAGACCTCATAAATATTTTATATTGACAAAACAGCATGCTCCCTGGGTATGTATGAAATCAGAATATTTAGGAGAGACTGAGTGAATGCGAATGGCATTTCTTAGCACCCAGCTTTAATATCTACCAGACCTAGTAGTCTGGATTATTTGTAGCACCACAGAAAACTCAATAGAAAATCACAAAGGTATATATTCAACCTTTCCATGAGGTTCATTTAATTTATAGTAACAAACAGCAATGATGCAGATAAAGAATTTTTGAAATTATTGGCTTATTGGATTTACCTAGCAAGAAAAACTCTATATTACGTATTTTAGTACATCTCATGTACGTAAAGCACCAGTTTAAATGAGATTATCAAATATCTCCAGCATCTTGTTGCTGAGCCTAAAAGTTCATTTCTTATTACTTTCCATGGCACAATCTTAAAGCCAAGGAAGATAAAACTAGAATGTTAATAAATATTAACGGAGAAATTCACTCCCTATCATATTTATGTGTCTCAAGTAAAACACAGATGAGTGGCACAAGGTCTACTGCATTCTCTGGAACGTGCCACCCCAGAGTAGTCACTGGCTACCAGGGATTAACACACAGGACTGAGTAGGTCAAAGCCCGGGCTCTGTCAGGTCAGGGCCGGTTTTTACTACTGAGCAACTCACAAACACCACTGGTAAAGCAGAGGCCTGAGTATGCATACAACTCAGGGAACCCTGAGTTTACCCTTAGTTACCACTAAAAACTAACAAATGAGACTCCACTGAGGCTCAACTTCATATACAAAAATCAACACATTTGCCTGACAGTGGTAATTATTGTTAGCATGCCCTTCTTAGGTATAAAAGGGGTAATGGTATATCTAGGTTTATGCACAGTTAAGAATCAACTATAAATATTCAGACTTGTATTTTAAAATTACAGATCAAAAGTGACTCCCAAAAGAAAATCAATTTCTTCATAAATGAAATATAGTATATAAAAAGCTGGAATGATGATTAATTCAAATACAAAAACTAGATACAAAAACCCTACTTTTTCTTCCAAACTACTTAGGTTCATACGGTTCATACTACCACACAACTGTTCTACATTACAATTACACCACTAGAGAAAAATATGAATAACACAAACACTTCAGTTAGCAAACTGAGGTTCTACTTGTTGACAACTGCATTAAAACTGCAGCATTTAAACAGAGCTGAGAAACACCATTCTTAAGCATGGTTTTCTTCTTCCTGTTCTTGTGTTCCACAGTGATTATTAAAGGAAGGAATCTGGTCTGTAAATGACTGGGTCATCCACTGCCCATTAGGAATGCCACTGAAAGCTGATTCTCCTTGTAACTCCGAACTGTCAACTGCCAGGAAAGAAAACCAAAGTTAGTTTATGCCATTTAGAAATTTTTGCTTTTTTATAAATAGAGACTGGGTCTCACTCTGTCACCCAGGCTGGAATGTAGTGGCATAATCACAGCTCTTTGCCAGCCTCAAACTCCTGGGCTCAAGTGATCCTCCCATCTTAGCCTCTCAAAGCACTGGGATTATAGGTGTGAGCCACCACATCAGCTTATTTAGAATTTTTTTTTCTTTTTGAGACTGCATCTCACTCTGTCACCTAGGATGAAGTGCAGTGGCATGATTTTGGTTCACTGCAGCCTCTGCCTTCCAGGTTTGAGTGATTCCCCTGGCTCAGCCTCCCAAGTAGCTAGGATTACAGGCGCCTACAACCATGCCTAGCTAATTTTGGTATGTTTTAGTAGAGGCAGGGTTTCATCATGTTGGCCAGGCTTGTCTCAAACTCCAGACCTCAAATAATCCACCCACCTTGGCCTCCCAAAAATGCTGGTTACAGGTGTGAATCACCACGCCTGGCCTGGAAGTTTTAAATGATCAAGTAGGAGAGTTTACAGTTTAGTGAAGGAGAATGATTATTAAAATAGTTAAGCAAGCTTCCTGAATACAACTGTAAGTTTCTGTTCTATTTTCAGATACAGGACTCATTTGTTATTAATTCTTATTTGTTATTAAAGAAGAAAATCCAACTAGGGTGGCCTAGAGTTCATGACTGAAAGAAAATGCACTGTAAAAGCCTGTGTAATTCAACGTGAAATATCCATCAAATTTGCACTAATAGTCACTAAATAAAATTTCATATTAGCATTCCCATCCTTCAATAATTTACTGTTCTTCTATTAAAATTCTTCCCCCAATCCTGACAAAACTGTCTTTGAAAGGAACACATGTGTGGAGGGGAACATACCTAGCCCATTTGAAGAGAAGCTGAAAGGTTCACTGTTGCATGGATTTTCTACATAAGCACCACCATACGCTGCCTCATAACCCGGATCATATTTTTCTTCCTTAACAGCCATCTTCTTTGCATCCTCTGTGAGGAGAGTAAAAAGTATTTAAGGATTTAAAACTGATTTTCTACAACAATTCTGAAAATAGCATTATTCAGAAATCATGAACAATTCTTTTTCTTGAATGTTCATATACACTGAGATACATCTCTATTAATATTTTAAACTTATAGCATATACTAAATGAACACATAAGAATTGTAAAAACCTCTTACATTCAATTTTAGGTGGGGTACAATATTTTTTTTTTTTTTTTTTT